TGGGGTGTGTGTGTGTGTGTGTGTGTGTGTGTGTGTGTGTGTGTGTGTGTGTGTGTGCGTGTGTGTGTGTGTGTGTGTCTTACGCTCCATGGCAGAGGCTCCGTCGAACCCCTAGGGTTCGATCGAACCCAAGTTAAGAACCACTGCTCTAGATTGTCCTCAGGTGTGATTATGAATGTAATTGGGTGTTCGTCTACATGTGCCCTGCAATTGGCTGGCAACCATTTCAGGGTGTAGCCCGCATGCTGTCCAAGGACAGCTGGGAGAGGCTCCAGCACGCCCGTGACCCTCGTGAGGTGAAGCGGATTAGAAAATGGATGCTTTCGATTCCATTCAAATTCAGTTAAACATCAACAACAATCCACAGAAACTGTTGTTCCTGCTACATTAATTCCTAGAAATACGAGTTCCTTTCGTTAAGCAAGAACTTCTGGTTTCTGGTAAAGTTGTTCCAAAATTCCCTTCAGTGAGCGTGACGACAGTCATGACGGCTCCACTGTGCTACGAGTGCTAAATAAAGTAGCAACACTGCCAAAGCTGGGCTTAGAAAAAAAAAAAGTTGGGAGAGGGGGAGCAGTGATGTGAGGGAAATATGACTTAATTTCAGTACAATTTTCTGCCAGGTTAGGATGCCTCCCTGATGAGTTTTTGTGTGTGTTCCATCATTCTGGGAGTTCTTATTTCAAGTACATACTCAAAATGTGTAAATAAATCTGAATAACTAGGGTTAGGGTTTTCGTTAAGATAGGTAGGGTTACTTATAATGCCTTATGAATATTTGTACGGGGAAAAAAACTGCTTGAATGAAGGGAAATGTTGTTTCACCAAAACTGCCGAGTAAAAAAATATAAAGTGCCAGATAAGGACATACATAGTTTGGCTTTATCTGAGATATGCAACTTTAATTTGATCTTATTTTTTGCAGTGCAGTATGCATGTGGACTTTCATGTGTTCAAGTGCATCATGTTTATGTTCTCCATTGTCTTCAGTCCATTGTGTGAGCGACGGCGGGTTACGCTGTACTGTCATCGGCTGAGTGTCACGCAAGGTATGTACACCTGCTGCTTTCAACTGCAGGTATTAACAAAGATAATTTATTTCCTCATGGGCGTGTATGTGCTGACAGGAAAAGGTGTACCGGCTTGGAGGCACACTCTTGACTTTCTTGTCTTCTGCCCTCCCTTCATTCGCAACATGGAATTCTGTCGGCTCTGCTTCGTGCTCCTCGCCTTGGTCACTGGTGAGTTCTGCGTCATTTTCTCTTTTCTTAGGTATATTGTATATTCAGAGACTGTGTGTTGTGTGTCAATGACATGGTGGTCATTACACATGAAGTGTCACAGCACTGTCCAACTTTGACTGAATGACAACTTGGACTTCAGATACAAAGTTGTCTTTTTTTGTCTTAGGAAAAAAAAAACTAAACTAAACTGAACTCACTTCAATTTTTCTTTTTTTTTATTTATGTTAGACATGAGACAACACAAGTGCAACCATAACACCTTAAAAGAGAAGTCAACATTTCAATGATATATTTTCAGGGCTAACTGATAATTTAGCATGTTACTCAGTATTAATGAATCTCACGAAGGTCGCGGGCTGGTTGGAGACAATCCCAGCCGTCTTTGAGCAGTAGGCGAGGGACACCCTGAACTGGTTTGCCAATCGCAAGGGTACACAAGAAACCATTTGCGCTCAGAATCATACCTAGGGGCCATTTAGAGTGTTCATTCAGCCCGCCATGCATGTTTTTGGAATGTGGGAGGAAACCGGAGTACCCAGAGAAAACCCACACAGGCTTAGCGTAAACATACAAACTCCACACAGGAAGGGAATTGAACCCTGCACCTCTGTGGCTCAATCACATTCGACTTGATGTTAATCATTATTAACATGTATGTGACAATCGTTCCTTAGATCAGGGATGGGCAACCTAATGATGAAGGGGGGCCACAATTTTTCATCAGTGCTACTAGGGGGGCCACATAGGACCACAGACTTCCTAACCAGATGTATGACAAAATGATCTTTTGAATATGGACAAAATATATGCGTGCATATATTTCTGTCTGATTGAAACAATTTGAATCATGCATTGAAAAAATTGGTGTGTTAAATTTACTCAATTTTATTTTGTCAAGTGGTCGCACGAGTTTAATAGATATGAAGTCCAAGACTTGTTTTTTTTCCCACAAAAATCAAGTCACTCAAAATTATATTATTGTATGTGAGTCATAATCCATTAAAAATCATTGGGCTACTGCTCATGCTGTAGTATAGGGCAATGCAAGACCGATTGCAAGTGCAACCAAGCCTTGTCTGTCATCTGGTGGTGAATGGTAATATTGCAACTGAAAACTATGCAGTAGAACTGTGCGATTCGTGACGGATAGGGACAGGGCCAGCACACAAATACGTTTTTATGAGGCCAAGAAAGACAAATTTTGTCTTTCTTGGCCTCATAAAAACGTGTTAACATCAACTTATATGCCAAATTTAAAAATAAGCCAATAATAGTCTTTAAAAATCATTATGGTGTAGTTGCGTCATTCAAACAAACCAGTTTGGGTTTCCATTACGTTTGAGTCACTTCCTGTCGCCTGCATGTCTTTTCATCTGTTTCTTTTTTTTTTTTTTTTTTTTTTTATCGCGGCTAATATTTTTGCCCCACCCGCATTCTTGACATTTTTATGATTTTCTGTCCTGCAGGTGGTGCTGGGCAGGCGGATGGTGAGCGAAATTTTCCATTCGACTGCTTTTTAAAACATGAAGCAAAAATGCTTAATCATCACTTGAGTGGGCGTGGGTTTGTCTAAGGTGTACCATACACAAATGTGTGTTTACATGTCCACATGAAGTCAGAGAATGCTAACGCAAACCTTGAATTGACATCCTCAAATTTATTTTATTCATGATACTGTAATTCAGAGCAGAAATTACTTCCAGGCACTACAGAGCCATACGCCTCACACCGGACCTCAAATAGCCTGAAGTTCAGTGTGGGTCGCACTTTACTGCATTCCGTGAATTAGAAATAGGAAGGCTCCTGTGATTAACAATATTGAATGTATTAGTAGTACTCAGTGTTGGACAAATTGCTCACTAATTGTTATGATTACAAGTTAATTTGGCAAAAGGTAATTGTAACTAAATTACTCCAGAATAAATGTAACGATTGCATAACTTTTTTGGAAAAACCTTCAAATATGCAATAGAATTTGGATCAAACATATTGATTGGACTTCTGACTACTAGTCCATATACTGTGGGTTCTATTTAAGTATTTTCTGAACTACCAAAGGTTTCCACCATGCTTTTAACTCACTGCAGTGTAACACAAAAGAAAACGTTCACGCAGCTCGCAAACAATTGGTACACACCCCCTGTTACTTCTGAGTTTTTTCACCAAAATCTTTCCCACGGCAGTGCTTTAAACTCTTTGTACTGTAAATTCAATCAATCAACCTGGGGTGAGTCAGTGATAGACGCTTTATGAGATTAAAGTTCCGAACAATGGAGGTGGACAAACACAAAAGGCCAGTTTTTAACTTGGCGGATCGAGTACTCTTGTGTCGCTGTGCTATGCATTGAGGCAACACCCACGTACCTACCTGAACTCCGGCCCTGATTAGCTGACCATGAAAGTGTACGCTACCATTATCAGACGGCAATTACTTATGTCTGTCACACCTCCACACTCACAGAAGTTGGGCAATTGGTAAAATCGCCTTATGTTTGCAGCTTCTGTCCTGTGACTGGCGTTGTGAGTCAGGTCTGATAATAGCTGTTCGCTTGTCACTCATTATCAGTGCATAATAATGGCAAATAGAAATTAAATGGACTACCCATTACTACATTGTTATTTCTAAACACCGTTATTCGCAGAACTGATACTAGTACAGTGGTACCTCTATTTACGAACGTCTCTTCATACGAAATTTTCAAGTTATGAAAGGCCTCAACAGGAAAATATTGCCTCTTGTTCCGAAAGAAATTTCAAGATACGAAAGGTAAAAAAAACACAGTATGGGTTGCTGCTCGCAGCTCCGAGTTTCCTGCCATTGGCTATTACCTAGCATCTTCTTGGCATCCCATTGGCTAAGAGGGACTGGGACAGGTATTTTTTTCTCTTCATTTGCCATAATTGGCTATTACAACAGTTGCAGTTGTCAACGGTCATGAAACCCAAGTTTATGCGTCAGCGCCAAACTGCGGGGGTGTGCCCGCTATGGATGTGTCCTCAAGCACACCATAGATATAGATGATTGACAACTTGTCAGTCACAGCAAAAATGTAATTGTGTTACTTGTGATAATGCTAATGCGAAATCTGAATGTGGTGTGTGTGTGTGTGTGTGTGTGTGTGTGTGTGTGTGTGTGTGTGTGTGTGTGTGTGTGTCTGACACAGTATGTGGCACAGTGTTGGTCAACTCCAGGATTGTGGGCGGTGATACGGCACCCGAGGGAGCCTGGCCCTGGCAGGCGAGCTTGCACAGGAATAACTTCCCCATATGCGGAGCATCGCTGATCAACAACCAATGGGTGCTGTGTGCCACTCACTGCTTGCTAAAGTGAGGCGCTCTCCACTTGGAAGTCCATTGAACCCCCCTTCCCGTCCTTTCCCCACGTGATTTAAACCCATTTAACTACATTTAAATGCATTTTATAAAGTCCAGGCCATTGTTTGACCATTTTTTTTGTTGTTGCTCTGATTGCTGTATGGTGGCAGTGAACTGAACTCACGACGAGCGGCAGTGAGCATTTCTTCAAAAATGAGACTACAGGCCTTTAATTGCCACTCACAAGTGAATTTTACTGTCAAATTAAACAAAACACAGAGACTTACGCATTTAGAATTGAACACAACCACGTCGAGTCAGCTGCCTTAATGCTAATGCTAACATATAAGGCCTCTATATTGGTACACAGCAGAAGTGTGCTCCAGCATAAAATCTGGTGCATCTTGAGTTTCGTACCAGTACAAGCCTTGTTTAGCATGTTTGGGAATTTGGCAGGCAGCTTTGTGTCATGCTTGGCGTTTCGGTGTACCCAGAATGCTTCCTTTGACACGCACCCAATGCATCTGACAATTTGGTAGCTGAAAGTAAACTAAACTTCACACCTGCGGGTACCAGGTCGGAGTCTTGGTCCAGGCTTTGGAGTCTAACTGTGCTAAACTGCGTGCATATGCGGAAATACCAACACATGTAGCCTGCTCCTTCACACAGGTAGACCTGGCTATGCGCTAGGGACGAATACAAAGTAGAGCCCGCATAGCATCAATGTGGTAGTGGTGATGAAGGTAGCATTGTGACATCTTCTCTGTCTCCATGTATAAACTCATGTGTCAGTATTATACTGCTCCCAGGTGGTCAGTGCAAACACACCAGAAGGAGCAGCATAGTGACCAGCGAAGTGAAGCAAAAAGTATCTCTGTGCCGACTGGTACGATGATGTCACTGAGTTGTGTGTTTGTTAACAGCACACCCACCTCCAGCCTGCTGATTTATCTGGGCCGCCAAACCCAGGAGGGCCCCAATGACAATGAGCAGGTGCGCGGTGTGGCGCAAATCATCCTCCACGAGGACTACGACGAGCGTACCAACGACAACGATATTGCCCTGATGCGGCTCTCCTCGCCTGTCGAGTTCACCACCTTTATTCGGCCCGTCTGCCTCGCCGCTCCAGGCAGTGACGTCCCAGCCGGAACCGAAGCCTGGGTCACCGGATGGGGCACGATAGACAGTGGTGGTACGTACATCTATTTAGCTTGCTCCATATGTTCTGTCCTGTATTCTTGACACATGACCCAATTCTTTACTCGATACCAGTAGTCGGCAACTCAGTTTGCATCCATGTTTGCAAACTCCCTTTGTTTGATGCTAGGACACCATGAGAGGTCAACAGCAAAGTAACGACAGAGGCACTGATATTCTCCTGACTGTCGAGATGGGCTTTATTGACAGACTTTTAAACAATTTGTGGCCATCTTTCGGGGGGGGGGGCAGCACGAGTGTAATGCAAGGCACAGGCTAACTGTGCCCATGAGTGGGGTTTTCTTTCTTTTGGAATTTTCCTAGACGTGCGCAGGTAGAAAGAGATATTTACGCCGTTGTAGGAGTGAACGCTAGCGTGAAATGTGATTGCTGCCTTTGACATTGTAGAAGCAGAAAAAGATATGGTGGAGTCAATTTTTAAAATGACTGCTTTCTTGCCTTGTCAGTCCCGCTTCCGTCGCCGCAGGCACTACAGGAAGTGACCGTTCCGGTGGTATCCAACAGCGACTGCAACGATGTTTACGGCATCATCACCAGCAACATGATCTGCGCTGGAACCGAAAATGGGGGCCGGGACTCATGTCAGGTGAACTTGCGTCACCATGTATAGAATATTTCAGCCTCACTTACAGTATTATTGGATGTTTTGTTCACTTCTTCTTGTGTTCATAATTACTTTTATTAAACAAACCAAAAAGTACAATCCCAAAGCTCTGCAATTTATTTTAATTTCAGACATCACCCTTGAAATAAATAGTTTACTGATTAGTTGATTCTGGGTGGCCAGGTGGTCCAGTGATTAGCGCTGAGGTCATGGGTTCGATCCCGGCTGCAGCCTTCCTGTGTGGAGTTTCCCTGGGCCTATGTGGGTTTTCTCCGGGTACTGTACTCCGGTTTCCTCCCACATTCCAAAAAAAATGCATGGCAGGCTGATTGAACAATCCAAATTGTCCCTAAGTGTGAGTGTGAGCGTGGATGGTTGTTTGTCTCTGTGTGCCCTGCTGAACCGGCTGGCAACCGGTTCAGGGTGTCCCCTGCCTACTGCCCGAAGACAGCTGGGATCGGCTCCAGCAACCCCCGCGCCCAGTGTGAGGATAAAGCGGAACAGAAAATGGATGGATTATTTGATTCTGAAAAAGTGCACAATACACGTTAAGACTCTTTGTAACTTTCACGAACAACCCAGGCAAAACTTGACACCATTTGATCGAGTACAGTACTGTACTTCCCCATTGACGAGGGCGCCATCTTGTGGCCTTATGGATCTCTACAGAAAGGGCACAATATTGTGAAATTAAGATTTCTCGTGAAAATCTGAGGATAGCTCAAACTTTCCCTATCATTTCTGACAGTTTTGATTGACTGTCTGTGTTCATCCAGAACACTTGAATCCATCCATCACTTAATAACTACATTTCACTTTCTCTGGATGTACTCAAGTGGCTTTCAATCTGGGATCGCGGGTCCTCCTCCCTCCTCGGGGTCTGCTACTTGTAACTGGAGCTTCATAGAATATTTGCAATTCATTATTATTATCTTGGAAATAGCTCAAACGTACTCTTAGACTTTGCAAAAATGTTGGCAATTGTGTCACTGTTTGCAGGGGGATTCAGGCGGTCCGATGGTGAGTAAAAACGCTACGAGGTGGGTCCAACTCGGCGTGGTGAGCTTTGGACAAGGATGCGCATTGCCCGACATCCCAGGAGTCTATGCCCGAGTGTCCCAATATCAGACGTGGATCACGGAACGCGTCACTGGCGACCAGCCGGGCTTCGTCGACTTTGTGCCTGGCACAACCACCACAGGGGGAGCTACGTTGGTGGTCCTTTCCGCACCTTTACTGCTCACTCTGCTGCCGACAATCTTCACCTCTCTGGTGCTCATGTGACGAGGACCATCAACGTCATGTCAACAGTGGGGGCTACAAACATTACATTAGAGGAAGCTAGCTACCGTAAACTCATTTGATTGAGTTGTCTAATGAAGAATTAATTTCTTTTTCTCTTTTTCTTTTTTTTGAAAGCTCTTAGGTTTTCTGTTATTTTTGATGAAGTGATCAGAAGCGAACAGTAAAATATGCTTCAATACTTAGCTTTTTATTGCACTTGGTGATTTTACATGACAAAAGGTTTGAAATGTAAGCAGTCACAAACCTCAGCATGACAACGTCCTTTTTTGTTTGCCACAGGTTCACCTCATGTAAAGTTTTGCATTGAATTTCATTTAGACGTGAAGTTGCCAATTTGAATGTTGAGCACTGTCATGAATGCTGCAATCTGGGGTCTGAAAGAAACTGTTCTCTTGCACTGTTGTGACATTTGAAGTTATGAATTCGTTTTTTATGATTACTCCGCAATGTCAAATAATGTTTGTATTTTTCTACTTGGGGTTGTTTCTCTTTAATTAAATTATGTTGATGTCAACATTAATTTTTGTTCTTATACTGTGGCCGAATAGTGAGAACGAATATTGTACGCAGCCCCGCAAAGTTTTTTCTTTTTCTTCCATGTCACCATTGGGGCTGCGTACTGCCGATGACTTCAAATCTCCACGACAGAATTTCGTGTTGGCGGATCGATCCACCTATCGATAATACAAATGTTGATATTGGTACTGCTCCATGCCAACGTTTTGAGAAGTTTTTTTAGCTCCTCTGAGGTATCCGGTTTCAACAAACAATGCCAAACATTGTCTTTTTCATCCATGAAATGATGAAAAATTATTTTTTAGAAGACAGCTTCCGTTCACACTTATAATCTTAATTCGATGTCATATGCCGCGAAGCAGAGTCTGTGCCAGCACATTAAAAAAAAAAATCAATACCTGTAATGTAATATTTAAAAAAATCTATTGTCATTACTGGTTTTATAGTGACATCTATTGGTAAAGTTTGTTCACAACACCTGATATCTGCTTTTGAGAACGGCATGCTCAATACTATTAAAACTACCTTTCGATTTTTTAAACCCCATTTTTATTGCATACTTTGACAGTTGGTCATAATAGTGAGACTTGGAGCGCTATAAGAGAAATGGCGGTGATACCCCAGTACAGTAGTACCACTGTGTTCAATAATTGGCTAATTTCAAATAGGCTGTATTTAAGTGAACACTTTCATTTTATTCAATGTTCCTTGATTCAATACAATTTTGCAATGTTTTTTTAAATACTGTTTTAATACTGCATGCACAGCGCTTTATGCAATAGCCATAATCCATCCATCCATCCACTTTCTGATAAGCTTATCCTCACCAGGGTCGCGGGGGCGAGCTGGAACCTATCCCGGCTATCTTCGGGCAGTAGGTGTGGTACACCCTGAATTGGTTGCCAGCTAATCAAAGGGCACGTAGACGAACAGCCATTCACGCTCACAATATATATAGGGTTGCATGTTTTTGGAATGTGGGAGGAAACTGGAATACCCAGAGGAAACCCACGAAGGCACGGGAGAATATGCAAACTCTACACAGGAAGGCCGGAGCTAGACTCAAACTATGCAGTGTGAGGCGGACGTGCTAAACAGTCGACCAGCCAACAATGGTTGCTCTCAAATTAAAGATGAGTTGAGTGATTGTCTGTAAATAATTTTAAAACATCATAATGTTATATCCTCAACTATGAATAAAGTGGCTAGCTGATTTTTCCGTTTAAAAAAAAAAATCAAATGTGTCCCCTGAAAACTAAAGTTTACCATCACAGCTTTCTGGTAACCTTTTTGGTTTGCGTTTGTGCTCTCAATTTTGAGCTTTCTTGGCCACCGTAGCGCGAGGCAAAAAAGCAGACAGGTCGCTTCTGGGATGGGAGCAGCGGCGATCTGGACTCAGGGGAGAACATTTCAGCTGCTTGGTGGAGGCGAGCAGCACGCGCGGTTCTGATTGTTTGGAAATGGACCACCGGTAACAGCCAACACACATGATCCGGAACCATTTAGCCTCCCATTCATCCGGACATTGACTTTTTCCTCCCCATTGGATTTTTCTCCCCCTCAATTATTTTTTTAATAGCATTCTGCTGGTTTTTGTTTCTTTAGAGAGCCTTTTTGCCGGGCGAAAGGTTTGGCGCTGCCCTGTCTTGGAGCCATGGGCTGCACGGTGAGTGCCGAGGACAAGGCGGCCGCGGAGAGGTCCAAAATGATCGACAAGAACCTCCGAGAAGACGGAGAGAAGGCGGCCAGAGAAGTCAAGCTGCTGCTTTTAGGCAAGCCTCGGTTTTCTGATCCTACAATTAGGTACAATGTATCCCGATGATCATTTGGCAGGCAACGCAACACTTACTGGTCACGACATTAGGTACACATGTTCACTTTAATGACGATGTCATTTTTATAAATGTGTCCTTGCAACGGTAATGATGCTCGGTTTTGATTGACAGTGTCAGTCTTACTCATTTTGCGCCCACATGATACTCTCATACTGACTGATGGCTCTAATCATTTGCTCCTCCTCGATTGCTCGATCAAGGGGATGGGCAAATATTTAGATAATAAAACCAAATAGAATTAAGCATGGGCGTCATTAGGCCTATTTTAGGGAGGCTTCAGCCTCCCTAAAAATGTCTTTAGCCCCCCTAAATAATTTCATTGCATTATTTAAAAAAAAGTATTATTTATTTTTCCTGTACTTTTGCTAATATATTGCATCAAATTCAACGTAATGTGGCCATTTTAAATTATATTTCGATACCCTGCCATTATTGTAATATTAAATCTCCCAGGTTTCCTGAACGCAACAGGTGTTGCGTTTGCATTTGACGTGTCTGTCACCATCGCCACATCAAATGCTAACGCAACAACTGACAGTTCATTGCCGAAAGTCAGGTTGACTGCACTGTAACAAGTGTTCACTTTTGGATAAATTAAGGTGGTGCTTAATAAAAATTAAGCAACATTTTATTATTAAATACATAAATAATCATTACACCAACTCTTTGAGGCAACACCTATTGAGATTTTGGCCTATATAAAATAAATAAATAAATATAAAATAAATAAATGTATTTATTTGATCGGAATCAGGCTAAAGACGCACAGAGAGTGAGCCGGGGGGGGGAGCTCTGCTGGACAGGGGAGTCTATCAGATCTCAAGGCTAATTTTACTTGCAAGGCTGTTCCCAAAATGCAATCGGAGCTTACAGTAAGTATTGAGCAGCAAACTTGTGTTTTTCCAAAGTGATGAAGCTTTTGCATCTCATTGTACTAACTTAAATTGCAACATCTCAAAATACATCGTCTTCTGGCAGCTAAGCATATATTAATACATTTTGGTAGAGAGGAATATAGGACTACTGTCATATAGGTTATGTTATCGGGCATCCTTCTAATTCCCTTGAACAACCAAGATTGAACTTTTGAACACTTTATAATTTCTATTATCTAGTCCAGTTAAAGTCCAGGGGAGGAAGCCCCATCATAGTAAAGAGGATACTAATGTGATGTGTGTAGTTCTTCATAGCCTCTTCATTTTGCTCTCAAAGTGCACGGAATTGATGGATTTTTAACAGAATGTAGAAAAAATTTCTCCCAGGGGGGGCATGCCCCCGGACCCCCCTACAGGGGCTGTGTTCCCCTTGGGGCTAAGCCCCCCTTGTTCTTCAAACCTAGTGACGCCCCTGGAATTAAGCGTGCATGTAAAAAGGATCATTTTTTTTCTTTTAATGAAAAAGAATGACTCTTATTTCATAATGTTACGATTCCTAATTATATTGATTATAAATCACAAACCAATGAATTAATAAAATATATAAAATGTGGTATAGTCAAACGTAATTTTTAATTCGACTTAAATAAAGTTTGATACATTTTTAGTTTTATTTCCAGTAAATCATTTCAACAATTATTTCATGAGGTCATGAAATCAAAACATAAATTCAAATGAATATATAAATAAATGCATTTTTATTCAACAATTTATGTGAAAAACCGTCAAAATGATCGAATTACATAATTGAATATCAATAAAATCAAATCAATTGCTCTCATTTGTTAAATGTATTATTTGTAATGCTTCAATAAAATTGATGAAATTATGATAATTGTGCATGTAGTTTTTATTTTCCTAAAATATTTTCATTACTGTGTGCAGTAAATAAATGAAGCAATTACTCAGTAAGATAAATGAATGAAATATGCACATGAAAATGAATGAGTACATATTCAGTAACCAATATTGGGGAGAAAAATGTTGATTAAAATGAATAAATGCAACAAACTTACACGACTCATTGAAGTAAATGATCCGTGGGCCTAAATAAAGGAAGGCACGGGCCATATGTAGTCCTTGGACCATACTTAACCCATCTCTGCTCTATTACGTAATCAACATATTAAAAACATCTCGATGTAAGCAGTTTATTTGCACATTTCTGCAGAATACAATCACATCGTTATCACACTAGACAGACATCAAAACTGGCTTGTATCTTCAAATGTTCTTTTGAACCAATTACACTTGACTTAGCTTTGTAACACACCTACCTGTTTATTTTTGGCTCTGGAAAAGGTAAAACTTAACAATAATGAGCCCTATGCTCTAGATGAGTGCAAATTGCATTCACCTCACTCCTCGTTGATCTTATCTTATCTTGTACAGCTCCTCGTGTGCAAAAGTGTGTATACGTGCGTTGCTGAGTGGGAGGATGCTTGGTTTTGCGAGAGTGTTGGAGGACGTGTGTCATCTTGCTGTGACAAGCTGTTAACGCAAGCCAGGATGGAGAGCTGCAGGATGGCTAGTCAGCTGACAAGTCAATAAGAGAGGCCAGCAAGTGTGCGTGTGTGTGTGTGTGTGTGTGTGTGTGTGTGTGTGTGTGTGTGTGTGTGTGTGTGTGTGTGTGTGTGTGTGTGTGGGTGTGTGTGTGTGTGTGTGTGTGTGTGTGTGTGTGTGTGTGTGTGTGTGTGTGTGTGTGTGTGTGTGTGTGTGTGTGTGTGTGTGTGTGTGTGTCCTATACCAGGCCCACACCAGCATGTCTGTGTATGAAATCTTAAATAAGCACCACGAACATATTGTGCTAGGTGGACAATTTCAGAACTGATCTGAATGTGGAGAAGCGGACTGTAAACTATGTAAAATGTTGCCAGACGTTGCTTGCCAGAATGGAGAGACTGTTGTCCCTTTTCCTTCTGTAAAAGCAGCACTGGCGTTGAATGATTGGACGAGGGCGTTGAAGACCCCGTAAAGTGAAATCACAGTTTTGTTTCTAAATGCATTATACATGTTTGAAGATAATTTCTGAAAACATTTGCAAAAACTGAGAGCTATGTTGCATTCAACTGTGGAGATTTAGGGCACTAGTTTCATGCCCATCCCAAGTCTAGCGCAAATTGGAGTCTAACTGTGTGCGTGGGTGGAATTTTCTTTCTTTCAGTATTTTTATAGACTGGCACAGTTAGAAATGGGTGTTTGCGCCATTGTGGGAGTGAACACAGCCAACTTGA